TTGCTCTATTCTAATTTTTAAGGAAGTATTTTCTTCAGTAAGCTTTTGGACTTCCTTTTCCATTTGGCCAATTTTCTTTTTAGGGCATTCTCCTCATTGGCTTTTTGGACCCTTTTGCCATTTGGGTTAGGCATTTTTTAAGGTGTTATTTTCTTCAGTATTTTTTTGGGTCTCCTTTAGCAAGCTGTTGACTTGTTTTTCATGATTTTCTTGCATCACTCTCAGTGTTTCCTCTGCTTTCCTTACTTGCTTCTCAGATTCCCTTTTGAGCTCTTCCAAGGCCTGGGACTGATTCATTTTTCTTGGAGGCTTTGGATGTAGGAGCTTTGACTTTGTTGTCTTCTTCTGGTTGTATATTTTGATCTTCTTTTTCACCAAAGTAAGATTATAGTCTGACTCTTTTTGCGCTGCTTGCTCATGATCCCGGCCAATTACTTGAGTTTTAAACTCTTTGTTAAGGTAAGAGTCTGCTTCCAATGTGGAGAATGTACTGTCCCAAGCTTGGGGTTTATACAGCTGTTTTCAGAGATACTTGTAGGGCCCTGTAAATTTTCAGTTCTTCCAAGGTGGTATGATAAGGGGTGAAGTGTTTACTCCTTTCCTGGCCTGTGACCACAAGTATTCCTTTCTGTCCTGTAACTGTGAGGAAGGGTTCCTCTCCACAGCCACTACAAGCTTCCCCACCCCAGCTTTCCTCCTCACCCTAGCACTGCTTCCCAGAACTGTGACCCAGATCCAGACGAAGGCAAAGCAAGAGATTCCTGCCTCAGCACTGGCAAAGAGATCCCTGCAGTCCCTCTCTGTAGAGCCACTGGATTCCCCCTCAGTCTGTGGGCTGGAAGCTCGGGAAGCAGCTGTCCCCGTCCCCCCCCTCCCCCCGCCAGGGCCACACTCTTGGGGAATGGAGCTGAAACCCCACCTTGATCTCTGAGCACCACAGAAACTGCCTTTTCCCACTGACCTTCTAAGTTGTCTTTGGCATTGGTGGATTGAGGAGTCTGGAAACCTCCACAGCTACCCAGGATTCAGTCCTCTGAGGCCTGCTCCAGGTTCCCTGCGGCCTGCGCACCCAGCCCGGCGCGATACACCTTTCTGATCAATCATCCAGGTTGTCTTGCGCTGGAAATTTGTTTCACTCTGTCTTTTTGTGGGTTCTGCTGCTTCAGAATTTGTTTAGAGCCATTTTTTTATGAGTATTTGGAGGGGTTTGGAGGAGAACTCAAGCAAGTCACTGCTTTCACTCCTCAGTCTTGGCTCCGCCCCTATTTTCTCCTTTTTAAAAAGTGTTCATCTTTTAATCTATTCCTTTCTTTCGTTTTGAATTTTCCAAATATTGTAAGACTGCTTTTCTCTTTTCTGATATTCTTAGTCACATTTAGAACTCACTTATTTTGTATGCACAACTATAAGGTGCTTTGAGAGCTTTCAAAAGCTTTTTGTTGTTGTTAGACAAGGCACAAGGGAAGGTGCTGGACAATGAAGTGTGACGGCCATCTACCCAAAGGAAGTCTGGTCATCATGTCTTCCTCTGTCATCTTGCCACCAGCAGGTCAACATCAGCTGTACGTGATTACAGTCATTAAATAAAGCCATGGAAAATTCAACCCCACACCACTGAATCCTTTGCTTGCATATGCTACTCTGAGTTATTGGTCTTTGGGAGCTTTCTAATGCTTTCACTTTCTCTCTTCTCCCTTTCCATTACGTTAAAAACCTAATGCCATAAAAAGCATTACACTAGACAGGATAAGATAGCATCTGTGTAAAAGAGGCCAGCCAGTTGTCCCAGTGGGAAGGGTCAGTATCGAAGCATTGAAGTGACTTGAGAAAATAGGAAACATATTTTTTCTTTCCTTGGCTTACCTCTGACAAACTACTGTTCTGCTGCCTAACATTTTTATTCTCACTGGAGTATGACAGGCCTCAGGATGGAACAAATACATACTGCAGACATTTGTAAAATGTTAGATGACTTTCTCTCCAACGTAAGTAATAGGTGCTCTGGGTTATGGTGGCAAGGAGGGGAGGGGGGCGGAGTGGGAAGACAAATAATTCACTTGCAGAAACATATTGCTGTAGACTTGCCTTCTGACATCACTGCAAAGGGTGAAAAATAAAAGGTTGTCATTATCCTATGCTTTCAACAAAACTAGCGGTGAGCCTTCATTTCCATGAGCCGTGCTAGTGGCACATGGAAATAGTGAGTTAACTATACTTTCTTCACCTCTTTCCTCTGAGACTCTGTGGTTTTTCCTTGGGTTTGAATGTAGCCTTCACTTCAGTCTTAATATCTATTTTGAACCACAAGTGCTGGCCTTTAATTTGTGATTTACATGGATGGCAGGGTGCTGTTCACAGTCTATGTTCCTGCTACATTTGTGGTGTTCACCTCTCTTTATGTGGTCATTAGACCAAACAGCATATCATTAGATAAGCCTATAGAAAGCATAGATTTCAAAACATAAGGGTTTCCATTCTCTCCCCCGTTTTTTGTCCAACAAAATGGCCTTTCCCCCAACCTACAATTTTCCTATGAATGTAACAATCTGGAAGCATTTAGTTTGGGAAGTGGGTAATACTTTTGGACCAGCTTTCACCTGAGAATTGGTCATTTACACAGCCTAAGTTTGACTCACTTTAGGCTGAGACTGTCATCATCTTTGCTATTAGCTCTTTGCACTCTAAAGTGGCCTTGTTTCAAATGACTAGAAGTTTTAGTTCCACCACACAAAGAAAATGTATTTTCTAGTTCATTTTCCCATCTAGTAATTTTATTATTCTGTGTGTATGAGACTGGAACAGGTAAATGTCTCAGTGTCAGTAATGGAATATTGAAAGAAAAGATTCTCACTTAAATTATACTGAAAGGAAATTCTTGGATTGGATCTGTGATTAAATGAGTTCTTTAAAAAATGCATTTAGTCTTAAGACATAGATTCTTAATCTCTGTGTGTGTGTCATGTAACCCTTTGGAGTTCTGGCAAAGTCCATGGACCCCTTGTCAGAATGATGTCTGTTGCCTGTCTTCCTAAATCTTCCTCCCCATCCAGCTTCATGGAACCCAGTTAAGAACTTTTATGATAAAAGTCATTCTTATAGGAATGAACCAAAGTTAACAGGACATGAAATAGACACCTCAATTCAAATATTGAATTAGTTGTAAAGAAACTGCCAAAGAGAGGGGAAACTCTAGTCATGGTGGATTTACAGGTGAATTTTATCTAACTTTTAGGAAGTAATACCTGTACTACTTAAGTCACTCTTAAAACTTGAGAAAGAAAACATTCTACCGAATTCCTTGTATTCTACAAATGTATTCCTCATCCCGAAGTCAGAGAAAGATAAAGCAGAGAATGAAAGGAGAGAGAGGAAGTTAAATTAAAATTGATTTGAATATTATGTTTCCATTCCTTATCCTTTTGCCTTTGGTTTTGAAAGGCAAAGGAGAAATATGATTGTTTTTAAACAACGTAATCATGAGCTAGCTGAAGGGGACAGACAAATAGTTACATGGATGTTGTCTAGGAAGTAATTCTGTCAATTAGAGAAGCTAACATCCTTCTCTGGGGCCTCATTAATCCTTCTTCTTGTGTACTATCTTGCTATGCTTTGAAATATGGAAAAGAGTTTTTTATCTTTTATTCACCACTTAATGGTGGTTACTCATTCTACTACTTTCACATTAAAATTTTCCATAATTTCATAGTTACGGTTACTCCTATCTAACTAACTCTGTGGGTAGGTAGTGTAGGGGGTAGAATGCCAGACTTGCAGTCAGAAAGACCTAGGTTCAAATCCTTCCTTAGACACTTATTAGCGCTGTGACCCTGGACAAGTCACTTTCTCTCTCAGCCTCAGTTTCTTCATCTATAAAATGGGGATACAAATAGCATCTGCCTCCCAGGGTTGTTGTGAAGATCAATATGCAAAGCACTTTGTAAACCTTGAAGTGCTCTTTAAATGCTATTGTTATCCCAGCCTTGAAGCAGGTGAGTGTCCCCTGTCTGTTAGTGGGCAGTCTTACAGAATTGCTGTAGCTAAAACCCTTCACATAGTGGCCAACCTTCCAGTGATGAAACTTCACAGGCTAAGTCTGATGGGAGACACGTTCTGTTGCTAGGACTATATATGAAACCTTTTAAACTATGTTGTTGTTTTTCAGTCACATCCCACTCTCTGTGACCCATTTGAGGTTTTCTTGGAAGAGATGCTGGAGTGGTTTACTATTTCCTTCTTCCAATCGTTTAACAGATGAGGAAACTGAGGCAAAGAGGGTTATGTGACTTACTCAGGGTCACATAGCTAGTAAATGTCTGAAGTCAGATTTGAACCTAGGAAGATGAGTCTTCCTGACTCCAGGCCTGGCACTTTATCCATTATGCCACACACACACACACACACACACACACACACACACACACACACACACACACACACACACACTCACCCACCTACTCGCACTTACAACAACCCATACCTGTTCATATGCTCATTGTAGTTAGTTAGTTTTGTAACGATTTCCTTAATTGTGGTGCCTGGATGAGGAGTATTCTAAACTCAGTACAAAAGTCATTTTAAGAAAATGACTGAACTCCTTTAGATCAGACCCTTTGAGCAAACTGATATAGTCCAATAAATAATTCACCTAAAGCAAAAATGAGCTGAGATGATACTCTGTTTACAAAATATTAGCCTCTATGCATTCATTGCCAATGTAATGTTATATAGATACTCAATAGAGAACGGTAGACTCAGAATCCTGAGAACCTGAGTCTGAATGTTAGCTCTTAGATGGAATATGAGCTTTGTCAAGTCATTTAAACTTTCAGAGCCTTGGTTTCCTTATTTGTGAAAGTAGCATAATACTACTTGCAATACCTACTTTATGGGGTGATGGTGAGGAAAGCATTTTTCAAACCGTAAAGCACTATACAAATGTTAGTTACATTGATGATGGTGATGTATGAATGTATTTATTAATGAAATTTTGTCTTAATCAGGTTTCTTATAGGAAGGATGCAGAGGATAATCATAAATACAATGCGGGGATTGACAGACCAGACATCAAGATGGCAACCCAAGTCTCCAAGATCATTAGCAATGTAATTTACGTTTTGTCATTCTAAAGCTGAAATAATTTTCCCTGTATATCCTAGAAATTCTGTTCCTATTTTAGTAATATTTTAATAATTTTAGTAGTAAGGAATAGCCCTTTGGAAATTAGCTGGTTAATTTGTTCAGTTTTGACTACTTATATGGATTATTCAGGTTCCAAAGTGTATTTTAGGGCCACAATTAACCCTCTGGTCATGTATGTTAATCAGTTTTTAATGCATAACTTTCCATGTCCACTACTTGGCTAGAGCATCAGGAAAGGAAACATACAGTTGGTAGAGACCATAGCCACACACCTTATCTTGGTGTTCAAGCTGAGTCTACAGTGTTGACTCAAATAATTCTTCACTGAAATAGATTCTATACCTTTAGTTATGTTGATTCTACCCTTTCTTCCTCTACTTTTCAGAAGACTTTCACCCTCCTTCAAGTCCTGCCTAAAATTCTTCTGTTTTAAAGAAATTTTTCTTTGATAAATTACTTTCACCTTTTCTAAACAACTGATAAAGTGGTGAAAAAAAAATCATTTTCTGTTGACAGGCCAACCTCTCCTCCACATTTCTTCTCTATGAGAACAATGATCATTTGACTGCATTCATCTGCCTGACCACTTCGACCAAGCCAGTTTCTGGGAATGGATATAGCCCTATAGGTTTCCTGCCAACACAAAAGTTTATTCATCCTGATAATGACCATAATTTTCCACCTTTTATAAACACAGTCATTAGATGCATAACATGCTAAAAGGATTACTGGACTTAGTGACTTAAAAATTGAATTAATTTTAACAACTATTTTAATAGCCATTATGTTTTATTTTTTGTTGTTTTGTTTTTAAAGGAAAAATCCATTCCCATTCTAATAGTTACCGTTTAGTGTCAAGTTGTGGTTTTTCTTTTTTGGTAGAAAGGGTTAGCACTAACACAATTTTTCTCTGGTATATAGAAATGATCCTAATTCTTTTGTTCATTCATTTTAGGCTGAATACAAAAAAGGAAAAGGAGAAATGAATAAAGAACCAGCTGTGATGGGAAGGCCAGATTTTGAGCATGCAATGGAAGCTTCTAAACTTTCTAGTCAAGTAAGATGGCAATGGGCCTCACAATGACTTTATTCAGAGATCTCATTTCTTGTAATATAGGGAAATACTTCATTTTTGATGCTATCTTTAATTGCATGAAAATGCAAAGAGAAAATTTCTGAAACTAGTTTATCAGCTAGGATTGCAATAATTGGTAAAGTTCAGTATTTTAAAAATTACAATAAGGTATAATTTGAAACAGAAAATAAAATCTTTTTCTTTCCCAGGCTCAAATCCTATTCGCAGTCAGTAGGTATGGCTACTTCACCATGCTCTCTGGGATTTCTAGAATTTATAACTGATTAAGCAAGGAGTTTCCCACCCCTGAACAATCATAACATATTTAATAATTGAATAATTTCAATACATTTAATATTAATTGGAACATTTTGTTAATAATGTATTAACATTTTAAAATAAAACATCTATTTTCCCCACCATATTTTTAAACCATTAGTCTTCATTTCCATCCTTTCAATATAATAGGTAGCATAACATGGTGGGTAGAAGTTGAAATACCCCAGGTTCAAATTTCCCTTAGACTTCCTATCTGTGTTACCCTGAGCAAGTCACTTAACTTACCAGTGACCCCAGGCCACTTCCTAATTCTGTAAGGAGCCACACACTGCTAATTTATGTTGGTAGAGAGGGTTTTCTCACTGAGATCTCCCAACACCAATGAAATAAACCAAGGTCCAGGCAAAGAATCTTCACATATTCAAAAGAAACCAGATGGTCTTAATTCTAGCTTTTTCAACTAAATGTAATTTTATTTTTAAGTCTACCTTCTAGGACTCTAGCATATTTGTCTGACCTCTCATTGAGAGGTGGTTTGCTACAATGGAAAAAACTTTGGAGTCAAAGAATTTGGTTCAAATCCTATCTCCACTACGTACTAGCCATGTGGCCTTATGACCTTGGGCAAAGCATTTCACCTCTTTAGTCCTCTGTTTCCTCATTTGGAAAATGAGGAACCCCTCCCCTGCAAGAACAAAGTGCTGAAATAGATTAAGCAGACATTTTAAAGCATTTTTTTCTAATCTAAATGTTTTAGTTCTGAGTGCTCAGATGCTTAGGGCTGGGGTTAAGGGGGTGAGAGAAGTAGCTAAGAAAATGTAACTTGAAAGCTCATCTGTCGTGACCCAAAACTGCTTCATTTCTGCCAAGACACATGCTCTGTCTTTGTCCTTTTCTCTTCTCTCCTTCTCCTTTTCCCTTTCTCCACCTCTGTCTCTCTTTCCCTCCTTCCCTCTCTCTGTCTCTCTCTCTTTCTGTATCTCTGTCGTGCTTACTCTCTGTGCCTTTTCCCTTTCTTAGTTCTGTCCCCTTCATGAGGTGATCTTGTATTTATATATTTTTTCATGAATACCCAAATAGAGCATAGGCTCTTTAAGAATAGGCACTATTTGTCATTGCAGGAGCATTACTTAGCACAGTATCTTATACATACTAGGCACTTCACAAACTTTTGTTGAATTGAGCTAAATTGCCAGACAGCCTTGATAGTCTGATATCCTAGAGGCATCGCAAGAAAAGTGACAGCTGGGCCACAGCTCTTGAGCATCTAATGAATACACCCCATCCTTAGTTGCAGAGTTATTGGCCAGCACTAAGGGTGGTTGATGTAACTTTCCCCTTCTCCGGTGAGGATTTTATAATTATAGTTTCTGTCTCATCTATGCGTTGATGAGAAATTATGTGGGCAGAGTCATCCTTGCAGGCAAATAAATGTAGAGATAGGAGAAAAATGTTGGAAAAGTGTGGGATAAAGAAGGAGCAATAAGAATGGGGCAAGATAGGACCAGGAGGATTATAAGAAGGCAGTGGCAAGATTAGAGAAAGGAATGTTATGAATGAATAGGAAATGAGTGATGAGACGATTAAGACGACAGATAACCGAATAAAATTGTTCCGCATTTTGAAAGATCTGTAAATTAAACTCTCTAGGATTTAATAGAGAAAAGGTGCTAGAATGAGAGGCCAGTCTTTGGATCATAGACCTATAGTCCATCCCTGGGCCCAAAATGTGTACTTCTCTGGTGTGGACCTTCAAACAAACCCTTGGTCACCTCCACATTATAGTGACAGACATTTATTAAGCACTAACAATGTGTCAGGCACTATGCTGGGTGTTGAAGATAAAAAGGTAAAACCAGAACAATCCTTCCTTCAATTAAGGAATGTATGTTTTCTAGAATAAGACTTCAGCAGTGATTCATTTATAATATAAACTTACTTATAAGTTTTTCTAACAGCTAATTTGAGGAACCATAACCTAGTGGGCCTCAGTGATACTTTTGTCTGACAGAAAAATATCTCACTACTAGCTGAATATTGCCTCAGGCCATGACTGACTTTGAGGAACAGTAAAGGAAGGAAACCATAGGCATGTGGGCAATTGAGATGGTGACATTTATTCCCTGAAGATATTGTACTTCCTAGCTCATCTTTTCTTTTTTTTTCTTCTCTCCTTTGTTCCTTGATTAACCTAGTTGCACATTCCCTTCATCTCAATGAAAAAATTAACAAATATGTTTAATATGTTAATTTGTCTTTTCTATATTTTTTTCCATTTTGCACATACTATGATTTCTCCTCCATAGTTCTTATGCTCCTTAGGAAGTGGAAGTGATCCTTGTATTTTAGCAGGCAGTAATGTACATGGAAAGCAAACTGTGGTTAGGCTTGGCAAACTAGAAAGTCTCAGAATACAAGCCTAGTGATAAACCATATCTTTTGTCCAAATCCCTTCTTAACTAAGTTTGTGGAGGCTAATCACCATAAAGTTAACCACAAAGTGATGGAATTTCTTTGAGTATAGCAACTCATGAAGACTGTATTTTAAAGTATGTGCGGAGTTGTCAGTTCTGTGAATGAAAAGAACTTGAATGCCCACCATGATAACATCACATGGATCTTGCATTTTGGATTCATAGGATTTCATTCAGAGTTGGGAGGGACTTTAGCAATCATCTATTGTAGCTCTTGTCTGAATAAAAATATACCCCCAAGGTAAACATCCAGCCATTGTTTGGCGACCTCCAGCAAGAAAGAACTCACTATCTCTTAACACAGCTTGACCCACTTTTGGATAGTTCCAGTTATGAGGAAATTTTACCTTGATCTCAAGCTGAAATTTGTCTCAGCTTCCTCTGATTCCCTTCGGTGCCAAGCTGAACAAGTCTAGTCTTTCTTTCACATGATAGTTATTCAAGAATTCTAAAATAGTGGTAAAGTGTCCACTATGTCTTCTCTATTGTCTAAATATTTCCAGTGCCTCAAAATGATCTTCATGTGATAGAAATGACGTCAGGTCTTTTGTCCTCTTGGATGCCTTTCTTTAGACATTCTCCAACTTGTCAATGTATTTCCTAATATGCAGTACCCAGAACTAAATATCATACTCCGGATGTATTCTAATAAGGGTGAGGACACCATTTTGGACACAATGCCTCTTTTAAATGTAGTGTATGATCACATTGGCTTTATTAGCTGCTTTACCACACACAGCTTGGAGTCCATTAACCTTCCCAGATCTTTTTGCAATTAGCTGCTGTCTAATTCTACCAACCCCACTTGGGAAGTTGATTTAAAAAAACCAAAAACGAACCACTTATATGTATAAGTTTGTATGTATAAACTTAAAAGTTTTAAAGTTATTTATTTATTTATTTGTTTGTTTGTTTGTTTATGTTTATGTTAATATTCTTTTTTCAGTCCTGACTTGCCTAATGTGTTAGCTGTGTTTCTTAGCTTTGTGTCATCTGCGACTTTAATAGGACTATAATCTATGCCTATATCTGGGTCATTAACAAAAATATTAAACAGCAGAGGGTCAAGCACAGATTCTAGAGCTCTCCTTTCAAGTTATCATAAAGCTGTTAATTGCATAATCTTTGGGTCTGGACATCTGAACAGCTCTGAATCTACCTAATTGTGGTATTGCATCTCTTCATTTTGTCTCCAAGAAGAATAAAAATTTTTTTTCTCTATTTCTTTCTGGCAGATAAGACATATACACAGAAGAGAGAACAGGTTAATGAGAGGGAATGATGCTTTCCTAGAGAGAGACTATATGGGATAGATGTAGAAACTGCATCTTATAGTGAAAGCACCTTTTAAATCTAAAAAAAAAAATTCCCTCAATTACATGTAAAACAACTTTTAACATTTTTTTAAGTTTTGAGTTCCAAATTCTATTCTTTATTTCTTCCCTTCCTCGTCCCTGAAACAGTAAGCAGTCTGATATAGGTTATATATATGCAATCATGTAAAACGTTTCCATATTAGTCATTTGGTGGAAGAAAACTTGAACTAAAAGAAAAAAGGAAAGAACAGAAGAAATAAAGAAAAAGTGAAAAATAATATGATTCAATCTATATTCAGATGCCATCGGTTCTTTTTTGGGAGGTCAATAGCATTTTTTATCATGAGTCCTTTGAAATTGTCTTGGATCATTGCATTGCTGAGCATAGCTAAGTCATTCACAGTTGCCCATCATGTAATATTGCTGTTACTGTGTACAGTGTTCTCCTGGTTCTGCTCACTTCGCTCTGTACCAGTTCATGTAAGTCTGTCCAAGTTTTTCTGAAAATCATCCTGCTCATTGTTTCTTACAGCACAACAATATCCCATTACAACCATAGTAAAAGCACTTTGAAGAAGATTGGACAGAGAAATAAAAATTCCCAGGGCTCTCTTGGACAGTGGTCTTGGACAATGGTATTTTGGATCTCCTGGTTAGGTGGAACAAACAAGTGAGTTTCTGAATCTCTTAACCTTCAGAAGAAGAACAGGCAAAACAAGCCAGTTCCCACTGAGCTACAGTTCAAGGCAGAGAAAGGGGAAAAAAAACTCCCAGAAACCTAAAATCATCTTCTCTAACCAAGAAATAATACCAAAAGAGAAAAGCTGAACCTCTTTTAAAACAAAACAAAAACCTCTCTCTACCGCTCAGTATCAAATAGTTAATCAGTGTATTTCAAATTGCAGAATGCATG